GGCGAAAATTGGTGAAATGTCAAGTCCAAATTGTTGTTTGTGTGAAATGACGGGTGCAGAAGAGGGAGAACAGGCAGTTAAAGGATGTTAAAGAGAGGGTGGAGTTGAAGGAAAAACAGAGTGGCAGTTGGCGATGGGAGCAGGATTTTATCAGGGTACGCTCTCCCTCACAGAGAACCACGCTTTGTTTGACTCCCTGGTAATGATTCTCAGCCACAACTGACATCTCTGTCCTGAAAACAAGGGCCCTAGACATCAGAAGTTACACATCACAAGTGAAGGGTTCTACATGGGCAGCTGTGACTCAGGGAGTTTGTGATGCTTTGTTTATCTACATAAATTAAAGAAAAATACCTAAACATAAGTATTTTAGCAATAGAAATGCTTACAAAATAAAAACAAGATTAATGCCAACAATACATAATATGCAGGTCAGTAAATTGTTAGAGTAGTTATAATCGAAAGCATGAATTACCCCAAACGACTACTTGAACATTTCTTTATTGAGCATATATGATTGTGGTTGTGTGAGAGAGTTTCACTGATGTCATTGTCCATGGTGTAAATTAGCAAACCCTTCAAATAAAGAACATAAAATCATGAAAGAACTTACCTTTTTAAGACTATCAGCCTATCCAAACCATTTAATTGTCAGAGTAGTGGACCTCTTGAGTTCCATTCAAGATTTCTTTAGTAAAAGTGGTCTTAATAAAAATATGATACAATATGAAGCCATAGCCTTTTACGAATTTTTCTATCCCTTGTGGAGTTACACCATAGACAACTTATTGTGTACCATCTTATGTATGGACAGAAAGAAATTTTAAACTCTGTGTTCCATGCATTGTGACTATGTTGTGCAGATGTCAAGTTGGAACAAAGACAAGGTTTTTAACAAATAGGTCATGTGTAACTTTGACCCTGTGGCCTTGAAATAAATAGGGCAAGTCTTTGACTCATGAAGGTATCCAGCTGTGCAGTGTGACAATTCTTTGTTTAAGATAATCAATTTAGCGCTCGGACGAGAAATTGTCCATGGACAGACAGATGGACGGCGCCATACCACAATAATATGCAGCATCTCACAATGGGTGTATATAAATTCACTGCTTTTTGCTGATATGGAGGCTGCTAGGGATGTAAGAAAACACTGATGCACTGAAATATCACAATATTTAATTTCCAGATACATTATCAATTCTCTAAAGCGCTGGATCTATTTTTAATTAAGGTTTAAAATGTAAACTTCCTTTTTATGTTGCAATTTAGCTTCCAGCTGCTAGTTGGCAGCTGTCAGCCAGCCATTTGGCTCCTCCACTTCTAAAGAGCAAGAGCGTATAAATGGTAGCTCAAACATTAGAAATATTAATAAACATTAGATTTAAGAAACAATGGCAGAATCTGAGCGAATTAGACCCACACCTGATGCCTTTCAAACTGAGGAAGGGTTGCCAGCTGTCACTTATTAGATTGAATGTCTAGCTTTTTGGGACGCTCTCTCCCTACTTCAGCCTGCAAGCTCAGCCATCATGTTACAGGAGGCAGGTAGGCCTTTAGCGACTAGAGCTGAAGGGGGTCCCCAAGGGACAGTACTGCAACAACCATATAAAAACACTGAGGACATTGAAATGACTGGGGTACTCGCGTTACCCCCTTAGGTACCATGTGACAGTAAAAGACTGTAGCAGCCTCATTTCTCATTCCATCCATTTATGGAACTTTAGAGCAAGGTATAGGATATAGTTAGTGTGGTGGCTGGCCATATTTTTTTTATAAGAAATTAATATTATCAATAACATAATATTATGCCGAGTTTTTAAAATGTGTATTTTTGAAGAAAAACGTGTCAATATCACAATACTGTATATCACCTTGCCTACAGAATGACAATATACAGCGGGTAAAATAAGTATTGAACACGTCAACATTTTTCTCAGTAAATATATTACTAGAGGTGCTAATGACATGAAATTTTCACCAAATGTCGGTAACAACCCAAATGATCCATACATACAAAGAAATCAAACCATGAATGTCCAGAAATGAAGTTATTTGTAATAATGTGGAATGGCACAGGGAAAAAGTATTGAACACACTTACTGAAATTTATCTAATACTTTGTACAAAAGCCTTTGTTGTCAATGACAGCTTCAAGACGCCTCCTGTATGGAGAAACTAGTGGCATGCATTGCTCAGGTGTGATTTTGGCCCATTCTTCCACAAACAGTCTTCAAATCTTGAAGGTTTCGTGGACCTCTTCTATGAACTCTGATCTTTAGTTCTTTCCATAGATTTTCTGTTGGATTCAGGTCAAGTGATTGGCTGGGCCATTCCAGCAGCTTTAGTTTCTTTCTCTGAAACCAATTGAGAGTTTCCTTGACTTTGTGTTTGGGCTCATTGTCTTGCTGAAATGTCCAGCCACGTTTCATCTTCATCATCCAGGTAGATGGAAGCAGATTTTTATCAATGTCTCTGTACATTTTTCCACTCATCCTTCCTTCAATTATTTGAAGTTTGCCAGTACCATATGCTGAAAAACAGCCCAACACCATCATGTTCCCACCTCCAAACTTTACTGTTGGTATGGTGTTTTTGGGCTGATGTGCAGTGCCATTTGACCTCCAAACATGATGTGTATTCTGGCATCTAAACAGTTCAATGTTGGTCTCATCTGACCAGACTATATTCTCCCAGTATTACACAGGCTTGTTTAAATGTTGTGCAGCAAACTTTAAAGGAGCTTCAACATGCTGTTTCTTCAGCAGTGGAGTCTTGTGTGGTGAGCGTGCATACAGGCCATGGTGGTTCAGTGCATTACTTATTGTTTTCTTTGAAACAAACGTACCTGCTAATTCCAGGTCTTTCTGAAGCTCTCCACAAGTGGTCCTTGGCTCTTGATCAACTCTTCTGATAATTCTTTTCACTCCTCCATGCCTTTTTACACCTCCCTTTCTTCATGTGTTCAATACCTTTTCCCTGTGCCATTCCACATTATTACAAATAACTTCATTTCTGGACATTTTTGGTTTGATTTCTTTGTATGTATGGATCACTTGGGTTGTTACCGACATCTGGTGAAAATTTCATGTCATTAGCACCTCTAGTAATATATTTACTGAGAAAAATGGTGACGTGTTCAATACTTATTTTACCCGCTGTATGTGTCATGATGTATTGTATCACCAAATTATTACTAATACACAGCCCTGGAAGCTGCAGTGATTTCCTACAAATGCTTGCAATACATATTTCCTCCTGGAAGTAAAAAGACTTTCTGATGCATTCACATCCCTGACAGTACACTGGCTGCTACTTTCCTCCAACTGCTGAGTGTCTACAAAAAATTCAAAAGGGTGCAGATGTTACTGTAATTAGGAATGGGGTATGATTTAAAACTGCTCATTACAGATAAGAATATAAATCTTGAATAGTTTGTGACTATCATGTTGTCTCTAACAGAGGTTTTTTTCCCTTTAACAGCTAGTTGTCAAATGTTAACTGCCACCACAAATTAGCAGTAGTGAGCCAAACTTCTTGCAAACCACCACAACACAAACAAGAGAGAGGCTTCACTTCTGTTGGCCTCTAGTAAAATGTGTGAATACCGATTTCTAGTGTGCATGCAAAAAATTGAAAAGCTAAGATCAAGATTGGATGCAAAATCAGGCAGGTAACGAGAACTAATCAGAAGTCTACCCCTACAATGTCCTCATTTTACAAGGAAGCATCCAAAAGAAATCTACAAATTTAAAGTCAGCAGCTTCGTTTGATAAAAGAAAAATAGGGGAAAAAAGCAGATGCTGTCTAATCTGTAAAAGCTCAGTCACTCTTGATGACTGTGTGCACTGAAAGGGTATAAGGGGACTCCAAAAACTATCAATTAATTCCCAGTGATTCCTAGACTATTTTCTTCATTAAAAACTTTATTTCTAACAGTGACTCTTCAGGAGCACTAACATCTTTACACTGTGTGCACAGAGATCAACAGAAAAGTTATTTTGAGATAATCAAAGCTATTCTTTGAAAAAAAATGGTTACTTACTTTTGCATTTTCACAACAAATCCAGCTGTATCTCGCTGTTTTGACAACCAATTGTCAGTCTGTTTCTAAACTGGAAACTTGACAGCAACAACAAACCCACAAAAAGTTGCAAGAATCTAATCTCTAACATCCAACAGGAAGCAAAAGAAGAGAGCAGGCATGACTGATAACGTGCCTCTCTTAACTTTAAAATGTCTGTGTGCATTTCAACCTGTATGAAAAATTTTGAACATACACAAGAAAAAAAAATGTCACCGGGGAGGAAAGCAATGCTTCAAACAAGTCAGAATGTCATTCGAGAATTTGAGTTCAGAGACTTTTTTTTCCCCATCACCGTCTTAAGACGGACTGAAGGACTTGGACTGAGGGCACAGATGGAGGGAGAAGTGACCTGACTGTCAATGATGCCAAAACCCTATTTGAAGTTTCACTGTCAGTGCAAGGCCCGACACACAAACCCATTTACCTTTTGGCCTCATCTCTTACCAGGAGAAGAAAAAAAAAGTGTACTTTTTAGTTTGGGGCAAATTTCTGATTTATGTGGGGTAGAGTGATGAGGTCCTAGATGAGGACAAACTTGACAAACGTTTAGGACATGGTGAACAGGAGACTGACAATAAAGAGAAGGAGCCATAATTTTCTGAAAAATTGTGATTCACTAGTTTTCTCTTTCATAAAAAAAGAAAAAAAAAACAATTGAAAACAATGAGAGCATGTAGGCAGACATTTTGTTGGGAAACCTGTAAAAAACTATGCAGTGAAACTAAACAAGCTGGCTATAAAAGAGGCAGCAAAGAGTGACTGAATTGGTACTCCAGCAGCTGCATCCCACGTGTGTCACAGCTGAATCAGCTGAGATGTGGCTGCACCTAAATATTACTGCTTTTAAAAGTATGTATGTGCATGTGTGTGTGTGTGTGTGTCGGTGCTTTGTTCATTGAACAAAGTAAAAACTCACCAGGATCCCAGCAAACTGCTTTTCCTCCATCCTTCAGGACCCTGGCGGCAAAGATCCTCTGCCTCTATGCTGCCTTCTCACTCAGTCTAGATGGGACCCGTCCGTCTCTCACTTATCAGAGTTGGAAGTTTTGTGAGGTGCCTGAGGTTCGCTCGAGTGCCTTCACCCCGTCACGTCAGGCTCTCTGTCACGGTCCCCCCCTTCGTCTGTGTCGTTTGCAAGTGTAGCTGGAGTGGCGTCCGTGCTTTGTGTTAATTCTGCCCTAATCCAGAAACTTTTCTAAGCTGTGAAAAGAACACGTGACAAGCAGAGAGGGGTGGAGAGAAGAGATGGTGTGGTGGGGGGAGAGAGGGGGGGCAACACTTTTTAAGTTACTTGTCTCCTTGACTGTGTTCAAATCAATCTAAAAAAATGTGACTGCTGTTTTTAATGCAATAAAAAATTAGACAGAATCAACCTTTCTAATAGGTAAATCAAAAGTTGACCAAATAGCTTCTATGTGATCAGTTAAAAGGGATGCAAAGACATTCAAAAGAACATGTAGTAAGATATTTGCATACTGTAGTCAAGCAGCTGCCACARCAAAGTGCCCTTTTGTGCGCAGAGATTAACTGTTAGGGAAACATTGAGCCGGCACATTGCTGTATGACGGCCAGACTGGGAAAAGAACACTGAGGTTGGATTTAAAAACACCGTGTTCAATTCAATTCAATTCAATTCAAAAATACTTTAATGACCCCAGAGGGAAATTAGGTAAGTTAGGTAAATTAGGTTCCAAATGATTGTGCAAGTTGAAGGAAATTTTGTAACTGATTACCTGAATGTTAGATGCAGTATTGCATTTTTACATTTTCTGATCATTGCAGCCATAGAGAATGAGAGTTGGAGTGTGTAATGCAATTTCTCTTTAGTATCAACAAAAGCTGGTTACGTTCTGACATAAAGGTTACCACCTTCAGGGGTGGAACSAGGGAGAGCCTGRAGAGGTTAAAAGGTTGAATCATTATGCTATGGGTAGAAGTGTTTTTAGTTTTGTACAGTCTGTTTAGTGCGGCCTGGGACAATCTGGGATGTTGTGTTTTGGATGTTGTGGTTTTTGAGGCCTATCTACTGTGTACTGCTGTGAAACGGATTGGAGTTAGACAGGAGAATAAAGTTTTGAGAATAAATCCAAATGGGTTCTGCTATTATTCAGACTTCCATTTTTGAACTACACTTTTCTACAAAGTGATATTTTTCTCAGATGATCCTAAACGGTCAATGCAAATGATCATATAATTTTCAAGTCATTAACTATTAGAGTATAAATCAAATTTTATTGAACAAGCCTCCAATGAAAAGTTGTTGTTTTTTTTTTTTTTAAACTAAATACACTGCAAGGCACTGCACTATCTGATGTTGTTTGGCAACAAAGAGATCCTTTTCTCTTTCCCATTTTGTTTGAAACCTGTGGCCTGCTTAATTATGTGGAACATCCTTCTCAAGTAGTTTTCCTTTAATTGAGCTCACCTGGCAAACTAATCAGCACAGGTGTCTGAGATTAATTACAGTGATCCAAAGACCCCTGAGACACAATACCATCTTTAGGACAAATACAGTGGYCTCTGTTCCTTTTTTCTCCACTAGTTTATCTCCTGTAAAGGTGACACCTTTAAATAACATGGATGCATTTTATTTCACTGATGATTTACTAAATTAACTCAGTAATATTTTGATGCATGTGCGGTTTGACAAACATATCAATAGCCTGCTAATTCAAGTGATACTGTTACATGTTTGTGTTCTCAGTTATATTAAGCCAATATCTGAAGATAACTTGAACTGTGGCTAAAAGAACTTTGCATCCTGGTACTGATGTGGGAGTTTGCACACTTAAAATAGTGATTTAATTCTGTGTTGCGGTTGTAGCAGWATTTCAAATTGTAAAGTCAGACTGACATCAGTTGATTGGAAAGATTTTCCAGTTTCCAGCTTGTCAGACCGTCGGACAAAAGCGTTTCTATTTCTTGCTCTTACGGAACAATGCAACATTACCACTTACAACAATAGTGCTTGTCGCTATGCACAATTTGAATGTACAAACAGCCTCAAAACATATTGCCTAATAATCACTATAAAGAATTCCAAGAAGGGCTGACTTAATGTAAAATAACACATTGCTAAAAAAACATAAAAGTAAAGAGTTTCACTCTCAGGTGTGATCGGGTATGGTCATGTTGCACCAACTTTTTGACTCAAAATTATGACACTAGGTAGTGCTGGATGGTATGAATCAAATTTTATATCACAGTATTCAACAATTATATTGGTATCATGATATTTGACTGCATTTCTTTTCATCAAAGCTCAGCTGATAAAAAAATATAAAAACATTGCTTATTGATCAGCAAACTATGGTCAGCTATATTTACACTTTCTGCAGCACAGAAACTATAGACTTTTKTATTTTACTATACCTCTGTCTGTATCGCTTGTTCCCCCACCTACATGTCTTTTCTTCTCTGCCTGGTTGTAGACTGTAGTCACGCATTTTGGTCGTGAAGGAGGAGGGTTGAGCAAAGATCATAATTGGGTCTATAGTTCTTTTTTTGTAATTATTTARTAAAACTTAAGATGACTTTGCCTCTGTGCACCAGTCAACTCAGCAACAATACAAAGCCACTTCCCCTGGGCTTTTCACAATTCAGTAGAGTAGTTTATGTACCATAGTGTCCCCCTGTGAAACAGTTTACTGGTGGGCTTGACGTAATGTTTCAAACCTGTTCAGGGTTTTTAAACTGGTATGTATGTATTCAGAAAATTTGTTTCATTAAAAAAACGTTTTTTGGTACAAACTGGTATACCACCTAGCACTACACTAGGGGGCATTCCAGTTGATATTAATGACTCGGAAGAACAAAATTCCAAACTCCGAGGACAATTGGAATGCAGAATAAAGCAACAATGTTTGTCTAACAATGTTACTTTTCAAAGTCCAAAATATAAAAATAAAACGACAGAGAAGAAATAAAATAAAAGTTTAAGGAGGACTTGAGAGAACATGACAAAAAGTGGGGCTAAAACAAGCCCTATTATACTGTTTGTTTTAGCTCCTATATATAAAAACAAAACAAAAAAAAAACCCCGCTGCCACTCTCTCCAAGAGAACAAACAGAGAGAAGCAAAAAAAAAAAAAAACAAAAAATAAAAAAAAAACACTTACATCAGCTTAAGTTGTCAGCTGAAGACTGTAAATCAGTTTGTTTTCAACATGTCTTGCTTCAGAGATTCAGCGAGCAAAAATAAAAAGCACCCCTGTTAAAGCAGGAAAAATACAGTTACCAAATATAGCCACCATTCAATGTTTCACTCATAAAACCACACATATGCAAACACTACGCTACAGGAGCCCACCGGGACTCAAAAGTGCCCTAGGAMGTGCATCATACACAGCACGCTGAACACTGATGAAAAGATGACAAAACAAAACTAGGTTAAAAACTCAACCTTACCATCCACAATGTGATCCTGGATTAGAAAGAAAAAGAACCAACAAAAAATAGCAGCTTCAACATGCACAGAGGGAGTCTGTTCAGACACTTAGAAAATTAACAAGAGCAAAAACTGAAAATGAAATGAAAGCCCACAACTCTAGCTCTATCCCACTGGCTAAGTATGTACAACTACAGTATGTACATGAGGAGCTGAAAGAGAAGCCAATTAGGCAATCCTGGGAGGAGTGGAAGTCCAAAGTTGCATCAAATTCACTCATGCCAGAGGCTTGGCTCATGTGAGTGATGTTCAGGATCCTACATCTTTCACGTTAAACATGGTCTTCATCTCAACTTTAACAATAACATTAACATTCCAATGAGTTGTGATGGTGACAGCTGCCATGTTTGATTTCAATGACTTCAACACCAAAAATGACATGAAAATGTGATTTAAAGATCTTAAATGTGACTTTTTTTTTTTCTTTTATTGTACCTCTTTTAATTTCAAGGTCTATTTTAATGTTTGATTTGATTTGATTTTTTTATCTATAAATATGTAATAAACACATTCAGGAGCTGTCAAGACACAAGAGAAGAAAATAAATAAGGAATGATTATACAAGCAGTTTCAAAATTTCTCCTTCTCTCAATATCACACAAATGGAATATATTCAAATGTACACCAAACTGATGAAAGAAAACAGAATCTGAACTGAACATTCTTCTTTGTGAACACCTTCTGTTCTTATCTGGTGTTCTTCATAGTCACAGTAAAGTTTATTTCCATGGCACTTTTTAAAAACTAATTTACAAAGCACTTTACAGAAAACAGAGGGTCCCAAAGCAAATCCTTTAAACTCGAAAGTACTTAGAAAAAGGTTGGTATTCAGCTGTGATTTAAAGCACTCAAGAGAGCTTGCCATCCTGACTCCCAGAGGAAGACTGTTCTATAGTCTAGTAGTCAGGACAGAAAGTGCACACTGCCCTCATGTTTTTAATTGTACGTGAAGAACGACTAAAAGGCCTTGATGACTTGAAGAACTACAGTAGACCACATTAGTCCTGAAAGAGTGTAGGAGCCTGATTGTTTGTTGTTTTATAAACAAGATAAAACTTTAAAAAACTGAATCCTGATTATTAAATGACCTTCGTTTAAAAAGATTAAAAACTGGAGTGAAGAAAACAGGGTTTTGGTGAGGAGTATTTCAGATGAATGTTTCAACCAGAATCAAGAATGTTAGCTTAGATAGTCACAATAGTCTGACCAGCATCATATAATGTACTTTTGCTAGATTTCTTTGAAAGGAAAATGGACAAATTACCAGATTTAACGTTTGTCAAATTTAGGTTGGTAATCAAATAACACAGCCCCACCTCCCACTCCAACCCAGCCTCACATTCACCTCATAGCTGATCAGGTGAGAAGTCAGCTAAGGACAACAAAGACCAGGAAGGCAGCAGGACTGGATGGAATCAGCCCCAGACTGATCAGAGACTGTGTAGACCAGCTCTGTCAAGGCTCCTGCATGCTGCTGCCGAACTGCCGAAATCGTGCCGAAYTGTCGCAGTTTTATGACGAAAATTGTGTCACTTCTGTTCGCATTGTCGGCATTTCTTGTCGCAACCTGCGTGTCGAACTTTTCACCCCCCTCCCACATAAGAACACATTCGAACTGTATGGTGTGATTGGTCAGAAGTTCGTGGGAGTTTTGTTTGTGCTGAAGGCGCTCAGATGCTGCTTTTGCTTCAACCACTCGCTTCAAAAAAAGAAAGGAAAAAAAGGAAGAAAAAAGTGATCGCTTCCAGAGCCG